CCCCAAAACCCCAAAACCCCAAAACCCCAAAACCCCATTGTGCTTGATTTTCACAGATAGTTTGTAAATAAGGAATAATATGAAAAGGGTAAGTTTAAATTATGAAATAAGCACTGACACAGCAGATTGAATCAGTGATTATCTGGCATTTAAATGCTGCTGCAACTACGATCGAAGATCAATCAGCCATCTTTTGAATTTCTTGGTTGAGTCTTTAGAGTCTAGTTGATAAACTAAGATCCATGAATTCGGACTCAGTGTACATTTGAAGCCCTCCAATGATTGATTCGTCGATTTTGAATTCAAGAACGAAGTCCTTGCCTTTACTTTGTGGATTAGATTACAAAGCTTGCAATACTTATTGTTCTTCCTCTCCAGTGAGTTTATATGCAGAGATAATTTGAACCTTTGAAATCTTTTCGGCCTTGCTAGCTTATATGTAAAGCTTTTGGTATCTCTCGCTTACTTCTTTAATGAACATAAGTCTCTTGTTTTCAGCGAGCACTTCAATGAATTTAATTGTTACTGGGGATATGTCAGCGCCAGTATCTTTCAAGGCTTAGTTAAAAGCTCTGATTTCCTTGATACCAATACCAGCATTTTGAGTGAAAAGTTAGAAGCTTTCTGAGTTGTCAAAGAGGTTTCCAATGAAGACCATATCCTCATACACGTCGTAAAGTTGATTTTATAAAGAGGCTGAAGTGAAGAGCACTGTGGTATATCTACCTGGAATGGTATCCTCCTTTGATGATGGCTATTAGATAAAGTTAAGCGGTCTTGTATTGAAAGAGTTTATTTGTAAATTCATTCTGTTTAGCAAAACTTACTTGATGATCAGCAACAGATCCAACTTTATTGATGTCTCCAACGCTGAATGCTTTGAAGAGAGCCTTATCAAGGTTGAGATTGATATTGGTGGCAATTTTGGCAGCTGAGAAATCTTTTACGGTTGCTGGTCTTGCAGTCTCTTCATGATGGACTTCTTAAACTGCTTCACGCTTTTCCTCTTATGCAGGGTTCTCACTCTCAGCATCTGATGATGTACCAGCACCACCCTTTCTGCCTCCTTTAGATTTCTTTACACTTGAAAATTCTCTCTAATTAAAGGTCACATAAATCTACAAGTGGACATACCATTTCCTGGTTATAGATGGAAAAGTTTTGGACTTGTTGTTGAGTCATGGTAACTGCAGGTCTAGCAACAAGGAGGTGGAGTCCTTTGCTATAGAAAAGTCTAAGTCCCTTAGAATACATCATATTTATTTATTATAATTAATAGATATTAATTTCTTATTACAAACAATATACTCTCGAAAGGGGTTTTGGGGTTTTGGGGTTTTGGGG